GAATAGAAGAGACGAAGGTACCAAACTTGAGCATGGACCTGTCTACAACACTATCTTCCTGATCATAGGAAAATCCTAGACCAGTCTTTATCTTGGCGGGAATCTGAGCGTTAATGATCTCAGAGGCTTTGAAGGAAGCATTGCACAACCCTTCAACAGTAGCTTTCTCCGCCTTTAGTTCAGTGATGGCTCGGTCACGCTCAGCGATAGCCTTCTCACGTTCAATAGTGATGGTTTGGTTTACAATAACCTGATCTTTAAGATTTTCCTCAACAGAGGTCAGTTCTTTGATCTTAGAATGAAAAATCTTCAGTTGTTCTTGAAGATCAATGTTAAGCATTTCAGTTTTTGATTTGCCATTGAGGGCATTGTAAAGGTCAACCGTCAGAGTATCTAGTGCAGAAAGACTAGAAGAAGAAGAGGGTTCATTCAGGAAGCATACCTGAGTAGAAGAAGATGGCTCTAAGGAGGTAGATGTTTCAGAAGATCCTTCATCGGCATCAATGGCCATCAAGCAGACGTAGCTTTTATCCTCTTCGTCAGAAGATGATTCATCAGATGATTCAACCCAATCATGCTCTTCAGCAACAAGACCTTTAGCCTTTTGCTGGTTTTTCTTCATCTTCTTGCATTTTTCCTTCAGTTTAGAGTACTTCTCATATATGGTCCTGAAGGAGGAAGGAGCTTTAGAAGATGGCGTCACAGTCTTCTTCGATCTGCATTCACCTGCAAAGTGTCCAGGCCGATGACAATTGTAGCAGACAGTTGAAGCCTTGTCTATTCTTTCAGACTTTGGCTTCTCCCTTAGGGATAGCTGAGGAGATCTGCGGAATTTTTTCTTGTTGGCAAACCTCCTAAATGACTTAGTTAGGAGTGCCAGGGACTCATCAAAATTTGATAAATCAGATTCTGGAATGTCCTCAGAAGAGTCTATCTCCGTGATGACCATGGGAGGTAGAGAAGAAACAAAAGGGGTAGAAGTTTCAACTGAAGGGGATTCAGAGATCAAAGCTAAAGGAGAGCTTTTCATTTTCCTGGATTCTTTTACAAGATTTCTTTTCAGTTGACGAGATTGCTCATGGTTAAGCAGAATCCCGTATAAAGACAAAAGAGAAAGAGTGGACATGTCATTTGACATCTTGAGACACATGGAAAAGGTGTCCCAAGACTCAGGAAGGCATTCTAGAAACTTAGTCAAAGTTTCAGAATTAGAATATTCCCTGCCGACAGCCCTTAGATCAATAAGAAGGCAATTAAATCTTTGATGTACTTCAGACAGCGTCTCGGACTTTCCACAGAGCAAGCTTTCATATTGTCTTACTAGATTGATCTTTCTAGTCTCCTGAACCTGAGTGGTTCGTTCATATTGGACACATAGAGTATCCCATACGGATTTAGAAGTTTTGAGTTTCATCACTGAATGATAAATCTCATCAGGAAGAGACATAGTTATTATAGACCGAGCACGCGTGTCTATAGCTATTTTYTTCTTGTCCTCATCGCTCCATTGATATGGAAGCTTTGGAATCTGCCGTTCAGGAATCGCGGCAGTCGTAGCTGTTGCTGGAACAGCCGGAACAATAGCAAATGGAATATATGGTCCATTTTCTATATAATGTGGAATTTCAGGATCCACACCTTCCAGAAAGAGTGACATCCGGTTCTTCTAGAGACAAAAGTTGTCACGGACAGACCGGGGAGGTTTGGCAAGAGAGTCATTATCTTGTGTGTGTGTGTGTTTGTAATATGTAAAGCCATTTGAAAGCAGTAAGTTATCTAAGAAGAGATAAATTAATACAGAGAAATAACAAAACACAAGGAAAGAAAGAAAATACTGCTTTGATACCACTTGTTGGTCCCGAAAGGGTCTACAAGATAAGAAACAGTTTGTAGAAGGGGGGGATGAATACAAACACAAGGTTTTCAAATTTAAAATATATATTGATAGAGAAGATCAATACAGATTTTACAAGACTGTTTGCGGAAAGATAAGGTAAAGAAAAACCTATCTAAACAATCTTTGGTTACACACGAGGCTATAGCAAAMACAGAAAAGAGAATGCTAAAAGAAAGATCCTTTACTTAAGCTAGAGGATGCTTGAAGTAAGAATTAGGTTAGAGAGTGATGTGCACACTCTGCATGGAGAAGAAACACTTCTATTTATACCCAGTGCATTAAATGATCATTTAATGCAATAAGGTAGGGTTTAGAGTGCGTGTCAAGCCTTAATAGGAAGGCTTGTCCTTTGCTACAGTAAATAGTACAAAAACACTATTTCTTAGCAGACATCCTTACCTAAAGTTGGTGGACAAAGAGTCGACTAATCGGCTCTGTACCGTACTAACTTTAGTAAGGGTATGAGTTTGTCCTTTGTGTGCATAAGGACAAGACAACAACTATCGTGCTAAGCAAGCTTGTTTTGATCGCTGAATGCTGGGATGACCTGGAGGTCTCATCATCATTCGTTGAAGCTAGAGCAGTCTTCACACATATGTAGACAGGTTTGTAGTCACTGAATACCGCTTCAGATCACGTACTCGCCGGTCTCTAATCTTCAGTTTCAGTCTTCGACGTTTGCTGAAGGTTCTTTGGTGTGAGTGTTGTCTTTTTGAAATATTGTTGTCTCTGATGAATTTACAATGCACGTTCGGCAGCAATCACTGAACATACTCAGTGATGATCGCTGGAACTGAAAATACAGAAACATAAATACAACGTGTAAAGAAAAAAGGGATTATCATCAAATCACTGAGAGAGAGGATCAACATATACGTCCAGGGCAGCACAAATTCTAAGGGCAACAAGTTTACGAAGCCCAATATAGATATATAGGTTCAGTTTTGGGGCTAAAAAAATTAATGTTACCATAATACTCAATCGGCCTTGCTCGCTCTCTCTTTCGTCCTCGACAGCTCGACTCTCACCTCCTACGCTCCTCGCTCAAGAACTGTAAATCGATTCGCTCATCGCTCTTGCTCTCGCTCTCGCTTTCTCGACTATTGACTTGTGACCCCATATCTGAACCATAGTAGAGTAGGCTCGGTTTCTAAAAAAAGTTAGAAAAAACAAAAGCGCTTCTCTTCTATTCCCAGTTTCAATCGCACGCCACACATCCCTCTCAATCTCTCGAGTCTTGACTCTCCACACTTCCGTCTCCACTCTCCAGGCTCCTTTCAATCTAATTTTACCCTAGTGTCTAGTGGTGCCCAATCTGATTTTGCTCTCGGTTTTTCATCATTCCTGGTATTTTCTCTATTATTTACTTATCTGATCTAAGACCTAATTTATTTTTAATTGATTTCATTATTTGCTTATTTTCTTGCTTTTTGATATCTTGAATCTTGATGTTTTGTTAATAGACTTAATGTTTATATGCTAAAATCTGATATCTTCAGTGATTTGAATATTTGAGTGATTTTCTAATCCTATTTGATATTTCAATTGGGTTATTGGTTATTTGGAGTTTTGGACTTCGGTTATTTGGTTGCTTGTTTATTTGGACCATCTGCCAAACAACATGACAGCTAATAGATTAAATATTCAGGCAAGAATTGACATGGATCCTCTCTTGGCAGTACCATTCAAAGGGAAATGCAATTGATGGAAGAATTATAGGTATTCACTAGAGTGAATAAAGTCTAACAACAAAAAAAAACTCTAAAATAAAACTAGGACTTCCCAGAACCCCATCCATTAGATTCCTTGGTTCATTACTTGAAAACTTGACTAAATTTGGAATATTGGCAAGATAGAAGCCGAACAAGGTTGCTAATCTAAAAGAATGTAACCAAAACAACATACACCAAAAGACCCTATTTAAAAATAAAATAGGACAGCAACTTAGTTGAAAAACTTAAGAGAGTATCTTTGAAATTCTAAATATTGGCTTAAAAGGCAAGAAGATGTCTCTAAAGAGCATAAACCAAACACTTGCCTTCATTGAGTAATAGTATAGGCCAACTACATTTTCCATTGTTACAGGATGCAATTTTGCTAATAATTGATCAAGAAAAGGTAGTGAGTCAAGCCAACAACCCCAAGTTGGGACTTTTTCTATCCATCTCATTTATGCTTAACTATATCTATTGTTGAATCTTAGTTGTTTGGGGTTTTGCTTTATGCCCCCTTGTTGTAACTTCCTTTTTTGGAAAAAAGTTGGCATGGGGATGAACCACCTAGCTGGACTAGGTTCCAAACCCCTTAAAAATTTGTGTTTTATTTGTTTATAGATTATTGGATTAGGGGCATATTTTTTAACTCTCCGCCCAGGGCATCCAAAACCATAGGACCGGCCCTGCATATGTCTGCAAAACGGAAGCTTCCAATGATGGAATCAATCATCACCATTGGTAAACCAAAAAAAAAACCCAAATTTCCACTCGGATGATGATATTGATGGTTCTTGGTGGAAGATGGTCGATAGGACTCTAGGGTTTCGAGAAGGGATCAATCCAGTTGCAAAAGGGATGGACTTACATGGTTTTAAGAGGGGTCAACCTAGTCGTTGGATCTGGGATTCACGGAGAAGCACTGAAGATCTATGGTTCTTCGTGAAGTCGAATGGGTGGATCGTGACGTCAGAAGAGGTTTTTGATTTCGCCGATCTTGGATCAATTGAGAATAGAACTGATGGACCGGAGGAAGAGGGAGTGAAAGGTCGGTTAAGAACAAACATTAAAAAGTATATAACTTGACAGAAAAAAAAACTAAATAATCTAACGAAAATAAAATATAAAAAGACATCAAAACATCAAAATCGATTCTTATAACAGGAGTTAG